ATGAAAAGAAAAGCCGTAGATAGAATTTCAGTTAACTGCTGATTCTGGTGGTTGTCGTCATTTTTAAAAAAAAAAAGAAAAGTAACCTCCATGGCACTAGGATGGATGCTTTCTCTGATTAGGCCGTGACCCCATGTAGCAATTCTGAGTATCAGGTACCACCGCTCCAGGTACGGATGCCAGTGCTGACCACAAGGCTACAAGGCTGATGCCCACATCTCAGGAGCTCTGCAGTGCAGGGAGCAATCAGGTGTTATTAATATTAGTGTATGCATTACTGAGATTAGAGGCCCGCTGGGAAGACACTCATCTTTTATTTTGTTCAGTACTTAGTGTTCGATGCTTATTATCCAGAAAGACCAGCATCATCTCCAAGAAGACATTGCTTATAGCTGGTTAAGAACAAACCAGGCCGGGCACAGTGGCTCAAGCCTGTAATCCTAGCACTTTGGGAGGCTGAGGTGAGTGCATCACCCTGAGGTCAGGAGTTCAAGACCAGTCTGGGCAACATGGCAAAACTAAAAAATACAAAAAATTAGCTGGGCATGGTGGCACGCACCTATAAGCCCAGCTACCCAGGAGGCTGAGGCAGGAGGATCACTTGAACTCAGGAGGCCGAGGTTGCAGTGAGCAGAGATCGCTCCATTGCACTGTAGTCTGGGTGACAGAGTGAGACTCCATCTCTCCCGCTCCCCCCCCCTGAAAAAAACCCCAAAAAACCGCTGGGGTTGGTCTAGGACAGCTCTTCCTTTCTGTATTTCACTCCACCCTACCCCCTCCCCCCAGCCACGAAAACATGTTTTTCCTCCAAGAAGCACGCGCCACTACTAGAGCATCTTGGGAAGGCCAAGTTGAACACGGTAGACAGTGATGTGGTCATTCTTAAGCATTCTTCCTGGTCATCTTCGTCCCAGAGACCGTTGCCCTGCAGGAGGATGGCATGTTCACTCTGAGAGCGCCATGCAATCTGTGATCCCTTCAACTACGGGTCAGACTCTGCCACCGTATCTCCTTTCCCTGTCTTCTAGGACACATTTACTGAGGAGATTTCCATGCACCTGTGATGTCATACCCATGGGTTTTTTATTTTTTTACCATCCGGTTCTACTGATCTTAGAACTGGATGACTCTAGGGCTTCTTGTAGCGCCTACTGTGGGGCTGCTCCTTGCTGAGGTCCACCCTCTGCAGCCAGGGGGACATTTTGTGTACCAAATGGTGCACCAGGATGTGGCAGTAGTTGCCTGTTCTGGCACTAGGGGAAACGAGCAGCTCAGCCCATCTGGGCTTAGCCTTTCTGTAAGTAGCACGGAAACACTTTCTGAGGCAGATCCACACCCCCTTGCGTGTGTGGCAGGCGCTGGCTGGAGGTGTGGAGCGCCGCAGGCAGGTAATGAGAACACAGCCACGACGCAGTCACCGCAGAGAAGCAGTGTGTGGACTTGAGCTAGAAATCCGGACACCTTGCATCTTCTCCTAGTTTCACTTCTCAAGTTGAAATCTCTTACCCTTTCTGAACCGTGTAGTTTCCAACCTGTCGAGGGTTCAGGAGTGTTTGTCAGAGGAGCATCTATAGCGTCTGTGCCCTCTGCATGCCCTCTGGCGGAAGTTGTTTTCCTGAAACTTGGGACCAGCTTTGGCATTTTAAGCAGGTTTGTTGGCAGAGAGATGGACTAGCAGCAGGGAGGGAGCAACCTGTCTGTCTCACTTGGATTCTGCCCCGAGGGCTCACAATCTGTTTTCCCTACAGCACCAAGTACCCTAGCACCACTCAGGAAACGTGAGTTAACAGAATCAGCCCGGCTTTCACAGGGAACCTGGGCTCCTTTGCCTCAGGAAGGCAAGTGGCTTCCTAGACAGCATAATTTGGGAGGATGCATCACTCTGCCACCCAGGCTGGAGTGCAGTGGCGCGATCTCGGCTCACTGCAGTCTCTGCCTCTGGGGTTCAAGCGAATCTCTTGGCTCAGCCTCCCTAGTAGCTGGGATTATAGGCATGTGCCACTATGCCTGGCTAATTTTTGTATTTTTAGTAGAAACGGGGTTTCACCATGTTGCCCAGGCTGGTCTCAGGTGATCTGCCCGCCTTGGCCTCCCAAAGTGCTAGGGTTACAGGCGTGAGCCACCACGTCCACAGCCAAGCCTCTCTTAATTAGACAGCGACTAGATAACCTACTTGGAAATTTGATTAGCATCTTCCAGATTTTCCACAATGAGGAACGTCATCCCCAGCAGCCTAAAGGCCTAATTTTGTGTTTATTACCACAGTGACTTTGCTTTTTAAACCAGTAGGATTCTGCCAGGGAAGACTGGGAAGTGGCAGGAGACCCTGCTGTGCTGTAGGAAGGATGTTCTCAGAGTTTCTGCCCTGTTCGTATTTTACATCCAGCACACATGCGCGCAGTTTCCTTATGGGACTGTGTCCTCGTTCCTCCCCAGGCTGTCATTTCACCTGGGGACTGCTCTGTGTACTCTCGTAGCATTAACCAGTCACGGCATGTGGGCTCCCAAAGCAGGGCCTGGTCTCGGGTGAGGAGGCAGCTCCCTTCAGAGAAGGGCAGTGTCCAGGAGGGACTTGTGAGCTGTTAGCACCAGCATGCTTGGTGCCTCAGTCTTGCCGGGGAAGTGTGGACAGAGCCACAGCACTCACCTCTGCAGTAGTTCTCGAGCGTGCCCCCGACCCGCAGCCTCACCTCCGAAGGGCAGCTTTTCCAGCCCCACTCTAGAGGGGTGGAATCAGAAGCTGGGGAAGGGTCCAGCAGTCTGTGCGCACAGCCCTCTGAGGGATTCTGAGGCATGCTCAGGTTTGAGAGCCCCTGCATTATAATGATAGAAATAGTTGTAAATGGAGCCAGGCACAGTGGCTCATGCCTGTAATTCCAGCACTTTGGGAGGCCAAGGTAGGTGGATCACTTGAGCTCAGGAGATCGAGACCAGCCTGGCCAACACGGCAAAACTCCGTCTCTACTAAAAGTACAAAAAACAGCTGTGCATGGTGGTGCACGTCTGTAATCCCAGCTACTCAGGAGGCTGAGGCAGGAGAATCTCTTCAACTCGGGAGGTGGAGGTTGCAGTGAGCTGAGATTGCACCACTGCACTCCAGCCTGGGCAACAGCGTGAGACTCCGTCTCAAAAAAAAAAAAAAAAAAAAAAAAAAAAATATATATATATATATATATATATATACACACACACACACATATATATATATATATAATTTTTTATGTTTCTTTTTAAAAACGATTTTAAAATGTTGAACATACGTGAGACCACAACCTATCCGCGAAATGTCCGGCACTGTGAGGACACAGCACGGACTCGAGTCTCTTCGTGCACCATCAGCCAGCCCGGCAGCGGGAAGACCTGGGCGCCAGACCTTCACTCCTGGGTGTTGAACCGAGAGAGGAGAGCATATGTCTGCACAAAGACCTGCACGTGGATGCTCATAGCAGCTGTACTCACAATAGCTTTAAACTAGAGACAACCCAGGTTCATGAGTAGGTGAATGGATAAGCAAATTGTGGTGTTTCTACACAGCAGAGTACTGTCAGCAGTAAGAAGTGAACTGTTGATAACCCACTGTCATGGGTGAATGTCTAAGTTATGCTGAGTGAAAGAAGCCAGACCCAAAAACCCCCATATATATACATATATATATATATATATATATATGTTGTGTGTGTGTATGTTGATTTAGTTTTTGAGACAGAGTCTTGCTCTGTTGCCCAGGCTGGAGTACAGTGGTGCAGTTTCGGCTCCACTGCAACCTCCGCCGCCTCCTGGGTTCTAGTGATTCTCCTGCCTCAGCCACCCGAGTAGCTGGGATTACAGGTGTGTGCCAACATGCCCGGATAATGTTGGTATTTTTAGTAGAGACCTAGGTTTCTCCACATTGGCCAGGCTCGTCTCGAACTCCTGGCCTCACCTCAGCCTCCCAAAGTGTTGGGATTACAGGTGTGAGCCACCACGCTTGGCCTATATGTATTTATATAGGATAAATATAGAAAAGGCCATAAATGTAAAAGTCTAGAGTGCAAACAGTGACAAGAAAGATCAGTGGTTGCTTGGGAATGAGGTAAAGCGCAAGAAAGGGTTGGATTATTAAAAAACATGAGGACATTTTGAGCGGGATGATGGATGTGTTTATTATGTCCTGGTGTCTCCATTGTGTACATATGTCAAAACTCATCAGGTTATGTACTTTTTCAAGTTGTATAGCAGTTTATATGTCAAGTACACCTCAACAGAGCTGTAAAAAAAAACCACAACAGGTCTGACAGTTACCTGGGAAAGGCAGGAGAACAGGTGGTAGAAGAACACATTTTTTATGACCTTCATGATATTTCTATAACATAAATGAATAAAATAGGGCCAACATGGAAAAGAAAACCAAATGAAGGAAAATGTCAAATTGCCATCCTGAACACCAGCACCGCCTACTAGTTAGCGTTCCTGCCTGCAGCCGCATCCGCGGTCCTGCTCCTCATGAAGCCATCCTCACTGCCATGTCCTGGCCGCGCCTGTCCTTAGCTTCCTGGTGCACACCGTCCTGCACCTTGTGTTCAGGCACGGGGCTGCTTGGCTCACCCTGGCGGCACCCGACCTGTCCGTTCTCCCACCGCGGTGCCGCCCAGGTCTTCCCGCTGCCAGGCTGGCTGATGGTGCATGGAACAGACTCGAGTCTGTGTTGTGTCCTCAGCGTGCCGGACATTTCGCGGATAGGTTGTGGTCTCTGAATCTCCTCCTCGCAAGAGATTTGTCATGTGTTATTGCCAAAACTCTATTTGTCACACCGCGGGTTATGTGTCATTAACAAAAAAGCTGGGACTTAGGCTGGTGTTTCTTACTGGTGCAGCCTTTAAATGCACACCTGGAAATGTTCAGCGCACCTTCCTCCGCATCCTGGCTCTATTCCATCAAACCCGAGGTCGTAGTGAAAGCCCGCGAGGACTTCTTTGGAACTTCCTGACTGGCTTTGTCCTTGCCTCCTTGTCTTCCCGCAGATCTGATTTGTGTCCACTGTCACCAGTACTGCTCACTTAGGACTTTCTGGATCCAGACCCAGCTGCAGCGCACACGGGACTCCTGAGGAAGTGAGTACCCCAGCACGCTCTGCCCGTTGCACCCGGGGAGGCTGTCGTCTGACTGAAATCCCTGCAGGCTTCCCGACAGTCCCCTGGGTGTGGGCAGGCGCACCTGCCACTTGGCACAGGTGATAAAACATTGTGATTTTTTTTTTTGGTGAGAGGAACAGCTGTATCTAAAATCTCAGGAAACTGAGAACTTCCTTTTCTGCTCTTACTAATACATATATTGACATTTAATAGCAAACACTGGAATAATGGGAGGATAGCGATGTTCAGACGTTAAAAGCCAGTGGGATTCATCGTGGAGCTCAGAATTAAATGGCAGAGGAAGGTGAAGTTATTTAGCCACACGCAAGGTCAGGTCAGGTGAAATGCTCATTTAACTTACAGAAACGAACTTTGAAGACCATGGCCTTCAAATTGCCTGGGATTATTTCCATGGAAATGTCACCGTGTTTACATTGTCACAGAATGATAGGAAATAGTTTTTGGTTTGGGTTTCTTTTGTTTTTGTTTTGAGACAGAGTCTCGCTGTCACCCAGGCTGGAGTGCAGTGGCGCGATCTCAGCTAGCTGCAACCTCCGCCTCCCGGGCTCAAGCGAGTCTCTTCCCTCAGCCTCCCGAGTAGCTGGGATTACAGGCGCCTGTCACCATGCCCAGCTAATTTTTGTATTTTTAGTAGAGACAGGTTTCCCAATGTTGGCCAGGCTGGTCTCGAACTCCTGCCCTCAGGTGATCCATCTGCCTCAGCCTCCCAAGTGCTGGGATTACAGGCATGAGCTACCTCGCCTGGCCTTTTTTCTTTTTTCTTTTTTGTTTGAGACTGGGTCTCCCTGTTGCCTAGGTTGCAGTGTGGTGGTGCAGCCTTGACCTCCCGGGCTCAAGAGATCTGCCCACCTCAGTCTCCTGAGTAGCTGGGACTAAAGGCATGCACTACCACCCAGCTAATTAAAAAAAAAAGGTGTTTTTTTTTTTTTTTTTTTGGAGAGATGGGGTCTTTTTTTTTTTTTTTTTTTTTTTTGAGATGGAGTCTCGCTGTGTCTCCCAGGCTGGAGTGCAGTGGCATGATCTCGGCTCACTGCAAGCTCCGCCTCCCGGGTTCACGCCATTCTCCCGCCTCAGCCTCCCAAGTAGCTGAGACTACAGGCGCCCGCCACCACGCCCGGCTAGTTTTTTGTATTTTTAGTAGAGACGGGGTTTCACCATGTTAGCCAGGATAGTCTCGATCTCCTGACCTCGTGATCCACCCGCCTCAGCCTCCCAAAGTGCTGGGATTACAGGCTTGAGCCACCGCGCCCGGCCTGAGAGATGGGGTCTTACTGTGTTGCCTAGGTGGGTCTTGAACTCCTGGGCTTAAGCAGTCCTCCCACCTCAGCCTCCCAAAGTGCTGGGATTACAGGCATGAGCCAACATGCCCAGCTCCCACCCACATATATATATATATATTTTTTTTGGACAGTCACCAGAGAGCTGGATTTTACATTGATTTTACATGTTTGTGTCCTAGGTGACTTTTCCTGTTAATTGATAGAAAACGATTTGCCTGTATCCGTGAAAGATTGTACTGTATTATAAAAAAGCTCTAATCTTCCCATGTGACAAACGTGACAGAAGGCTGTGATGAATCAGTAGCATTTAAAGTACTGACACATACCTGTATTTTGCAGGAAGGAGACTGTGATTTTGGATTCCTTGGTGGAGGAAAATCAAACACTCTGGTCTTGCCCCCAACGATGCAAGTGTGACTGCTGGCGTCTTCATGAGCTCCAGAGGTCACAGCACACTACCAAGGACTCTCATGGCCCCTCGGATGATTTCCGAGGGAGACTTAGGAGGCATTGCTCAAATCACCTCCTCTCTATTCCTGGGCAGAGGCAGTGTGGCCTCCAATCGGCACCTCCTCCAGGCTCGTGGCATCACCTGCATTGTTAATGCTACCATTGAGATCCCTAATTTCAACTGGCCCCAATTTGAGTATGTTAAAGTGCCTCTGGCTGACATGCCGCACGCCCCCATTGGACTGTACTTTGACACCGTGGCTGACAAGATCCACAGTGTGAGCAGGAAGCACGGGGCCACCCTGGTGCACTGTGCTGCCGGGGTGAGCCGCTCAGCCACGCTCTGTATCGCCTACCTGATGAAATTCCACAACGTGTGCCTGCTGGAGGCGTACAACTGGGTGAAAGCCCGGCGACCTGTCATCAGGCCCAACGTAGGCTTCTGGAGGCAGCTGATAGACTACGAGCGCCAGCTCTTTGGGAAGTCGACAGTTAAAATGGTACAGACACCTTACGGCATAGTTCCCGACGTCTATGAGAAGGAGTCCCGACACCTGATGCCTTACTGGGGGATTTAGTGCCACCGAAGCCTGCGTCAGCAGCCCGAGTGGGACCAGTGTCTGCTCCCCGCCGTCTGCTCCCTCTCCACTGTCTTCTCAAATGGCTGACTTCTGGTTCTCCCTGAAGTGTTTTTTACACTGGGTGTTCAAATTTATTTTAAGAGAGAGGGAGGGAGGGGACATAAAGGGAATGCATACATTGCTAGTCACATTTTTAAAATTAACATTTTGGAATAGTGTTTATGAAAATCTTTAGCTTTTAATCATTTTTATCAATTTGAACAGTTTAATAAACTGTTTGGTTCTGCTCTCTTCTGAATCTCATGCCTTTGGCACCTTGGTAGGTGCAGGAGGAGCTCAGTGCAAAAATCACTTTGGGGCCTCATCAACCCTTTAGAGACAAGCTTCGCCCCAGGCTGCTGACCAGACAGATGCTTAGGGAAGGTTGATACCAGCTTCAGTCTCTACTGGATTAGCCCTACTCTTTCCTTTCCCCTCTATTATTTAGTGACTCTGTAAGTTAAATACACCCTTATTATTTAGCTGTTAAGTAACTATAATGAAATCTGCTGCAAAAACTCTTGGAATCCATGTGCCCAGGATTATATTAGCATTATTTTTAATAAATCTATATGCTTAACATTAGAATTTTTACTAATAATTTCAGGATATGTGTGTGTGTCGATGATGGAAAAAAAGGTGCTCTCCAGTAACTGCTAAAATATGGCTCTTATGACAGTTGTGAACACCACTTAAAATACACATCCCAGCAGAGTCCCGTCGGCGCTTCACATCCTGGTGGGTGGCAGACACGCTGTCCCCAGTGCTGGGCGGTGGGAGATAAGAGTGCACGCTCTGATCAGGGGTGCTGGTTTTGGTTTCCTCTTGGTTAGTGGAGCACCCCAAAGCAACATGTCCTCCATCAGAGAAACTGGTTTTCAATAAAAGGTGCCTCTGCTCAACTATTACTACCTACAAAAATGCCCTAAACCAAACCTCAGTACAAGCGATAAGCAAATAACAAAAAATGGCTGCCTTTAACTTTGGAAATGTCACCCAGGTCACTGCTCCTGATAAAATGGGCGGCACCGCTCATCAGGTACACGGTAGAAGGTGAATGAGCTCGCCTCTGTCCCACTGCTGGGACACAACTGGGTGAAAGCTTTCCACATGCCCCCAAATAACCACTGTCCTAGGGCGTGCCTGCCTTCTGGAGGGCCTCCTGGGAGTCTGCCCGTGCGATGGGAACCGGTCGCAGCCCTGCTCTTTGGCCTCATTTGTCAGGGACGTTGTAGCTTGCGCACCAGAGGAATCGTTTTCTAGATTTTTTGGGTCCATTTTGGCAGGAAGCCATACATAGGCCAGTAGCTACATACTTAGACAAATATCCACGAAACATTTTACCTGGTTTGTGGCAATGGTTTTTTCCATCTAAGTTCTACCTTTTATTGCTTTATACCCCTGGCTGCCCACTGTTATAAACATGCATCATTATTCTCTAGAAAAATTAAAAGGAAAAAAATTAATAGTTTCTATGAGAAATCAGAGGAACCAACAAATGCTGTAAGATCAAAAACAAACAAAAAAACAAATAATCCAGGGAGGCTCTGGCTGCTTTAGTATGAGGCTGAGCTTTGAGTCTGGGAGTTTCTGAATAAGAGCCCCCAAATAACCATTGTCCTAGGGCGAGAAGACACCTGGTGACCGATGTTCTTCGTAATTAATGAAAATCACCTGTAGAATTCCTGGCAAGCAGCACTGCGGGGCTGTGACTAAGAGTTCTTCGCACACAGGAAGCTGAACACCTTTGTAATCTTAAGTGCGTGGGCCCCTGTTCATCCTCGTGACTTGCATCTACGTGAAATCAACCCAACAAAGACAAGACCAAGAAAAGGTCTAGTAGCCTGACATTCTTCTACATTTGTATTTTGGTGAGGGAAGTTTAACAGTGGGTGATTTCAGAACAGACCCTGAAAATATTTTAAAGGTAAAGCTTTATAATATCTAAACATATCAATTAGAGCAGTTGTTTATTAAAATACGAACAAGGGAAAAACCACACCATCTTTTAAAATTACAGGCCTGAATTCCACATCACACAGAAGACAACGCGTTTTGCTACGGACCACAGCATTCACTGGTTAATAACGCCACAGCTACAAAGTAATGAGATGTCCCACAAGAATACTTTTTTAACCACTTATATTCACATCAACATATAAATAATGGAATTAAGTAAAAACTTCATTATAATGCTATTTTGTTAGAAAAGTATTCGTAAAGTGGCATTTTTCCCCCCAAGAGCTGTTTCACTTAAGCTTTATTTCCTCGGCCTTGCAAGGGGCGGGCCTTTCAGTATTGTTATTTGGTGCACACTCACCTGAAGAAATAAGTAATTTAAACTTAAAAAACACAGTCGACACACATCTTGCCCTGCATTCTGACATTTGCTGGAATGGTCTACAGCAGGTTACAGCGCTCCCTTCTGAATGGCAGATGTCTGAAAATGTCAGTTTATGAACTGTTCACAAAGGCAGGCATTTGACCTCAAAGGTGTTCAGGGGAATTTTTGTAGTGGTCCCCAGTACAGGGCCAGCATCTCCTATTTCTGTAACATACAGCCCTATAATCTTTGCAAAGCTGAAGTACACATTAAACAGGCAAACAGAAGACACCTTTAAACAAATAAGACGCCCAAAACCCTTCAAATATGTGTATGAACACAAAATATTCAAATAATCAAAAATTCACAACCCCTATGAAATGCTAACTAGTAGCCACAGGAAAAATAAAGCATGGAAAATATCCTAATACATCCAGTACCTCTTCTATCTCAAGCATGTCCAGACAAAAATGAAATTACACACTAAGCCATAAAAATTTTAAAGGCAAAACATCCCACCAAAAAAAGAAAAGTGCTATTAATCGCCATTCAAGCAGTGGGGTGAAGCGGGCTGACACAATACACAGTATGGAAATAAGTAACCTTGGTTACGGTTTCCAAGGACACGGGGCTCCTGGCTAACAGGAAGAGCTGAGGTGAAGCTGAATGCAGTGTTGAGTCATTATAATAAATGTTTATAAAGAAAAGCAGCGCAATGGTGTCCCACACTCCTTGGATCCCTATTGGTGGCATCTAATTAAACATTTCAAGTATTCAAGAGATATGAAAGGTAGTGAATACTTTCCATAGCAAAGGCTTTTCTGTTGACGTCTGCTGAATTTTCCTGTGGCACCTCCCACGGAGTGACTAAGCCTATCGCTCTTGGTAAGGAAAGTGGGAATTATACTAAGGAATTGTATCTGAGGCATTCTGGAATTTCTCAGGAATAGAAACCAGCCCAGCTAACAAGCTTACTTTTTAAAATGTCGATACTGGGCCACTGTGACATGATAGGCATCTACACAGCATTTCAAAAAAAATGTCTCAGCAACATTTCAAATTGGGAAACTTACTATTTTTTTTTTTTAAGAGACACAGTCTCTCTCTTATCACCTAGGCTGTTGTAAAAAAGAAAGAAATTTTTAACAGTCACTGTCAAGACTCCTGGACTCATGTGATCCTCCTGCCTCAGCCTCCCTAGTAGCTGGGACCACAAATGTCCACAGATGCACTCCACCATGCCTGGCTAATTATTTTTTGTATAATTAGCTGGGGTCTTGCCATCTTGCCCAGGGCTGGTCTCTAACTCCTGGGAAACATTCTTATTGCAAAGGTAGATTCTGCTGTCATGGTTCTGTTATGAAATTTAGGCCAGGCGCGGTGGCTCATGCATGTAATCCCAGTACTTTGGGAGGCTGAGGCAGGCGGATCACCTGAGGTTGGGAGTTCGAGCGTGACCAACATGGAGAAACCCTGTCTCTACTAAAAATACAAAATTAGCCGGGCGTGGTGGCGTATGTCTGTAATCCCAGCTACTCGTGGGGCTGAGGCAGGAGAATTGCTTGAACTCGGGAGGCAGAGGTTGCAGTGAGCTGAGATTGTGCTATTGCACTCCAGCCTGGGTGACAAGAGTGAAACTCCATCTCAAAAAACAAAAAAAAGAAAGAAATTTTTAAGACCAATTAGAAGCCTGCTTGCATTCCAGCTCCATGTGGACCTGGTGCTGCCCAGGATGAAAGCACCGAGGCCTCAGGAAAAGCCTGCCACAAGCTGTCCCTCCTGTGTTGTTAGAAACACCCCATTAGCCTTGTGGTGGGCAAAAGCTCCAAAGGTACCAATTCAGAGTGAGCTGTCTCAGTCAGGACCGGCCGGAGACGGTGTCATCGGGAGCGAGTGAGAAAAGCCTTTCTCTCCTCGGTGCCTCTCTCTGCATTGGGGCGAGCAGAAGGTCAAGCAGGAGCCTCAGCAACAGCTGTTTAATGAAAATGTTCCACACCTTTCTTGGAGAACATGGAAAAGCTATAAGACGGACCAAGATAGAATTTGTTCTGAGAAGGGAAAATAAATTATGTAAAAGCAGCAATTATAGACAAGACCAACTTTGTCGGTTTAAAAATAAAAGTCTAGGTCAGAGGGCCTAAACCGCACAAAGTAAAGCACATGAGATTGAAAAATCTCTTCATAAAGCGCATAATCAACAATTCAGAGAGACGTGTGCCCTAGATTGGTACGTTCTTCCTAGGAATAACAGCTCTTAGCCACTTGAGTTTTCCCCCTAATTTTATGCATTCAGATTAAATGGCAAAGAAAATTCCCTACTCCAGGAAGCACGAGTCTTTTCCATCTAAAACTCAGTACTATTTCTGGACAATTTTCTTCTAAGTCATGTATCTATCCCATAAATATACATCTTGATACTTTACACTAGGCCAAGAACTCCACATTTTCACCCTGAATTAATTTTCAGGTTTTTCTCACAGATACTGCAAAGTCAGGCAGTGTTGGTCCCTATGTAGTCATCTTTGGAAATTTGGAGAGCGGCCACTGCCAAGAGATTTCATTCCACTGCCTTTACAAATCTTGTCTGAGAAAACTCCATGGTCACAGTCTTTGCATGCGGCAAAACAGGTTTGCAGTGAAGGCTCCTGCAGGGAAGGATATTATCCTGATACACAGGATTTGGGCCTGTGTGAAAATGAGCATTCTTCAGGACTGCAGAGTGCCATTCTTCAGGACTGCAGAGTGCCATTCTTCAGGACTGCAGGCATGTTTTGGAAAAAAGTCTTGAGCGTTGACAGCAATGAAGGGAAGGAGTAGAGAACTGGTTCAGTTGTGACAGCCAAGTGGGTAAAATCTGCCCTCAACTCCCTGCTACTGTCCAGGGCAGACGGGCAGAATCTTCTCCATAAAAAGCAGAACATCAGTTTAATCGTAATTTCCTCTTTTTATTCATTTCAGACATTAACAAACTAAATGCAAATAAATGCACTCTACTTCACAGGACAGTAAGTGTTCTGGGTAAAAACAAGCACTGGCTCCAAGCAGCTGCCCATTCTAGTCCCGCAACAGTAGTTTATTTTTCTTCAAAAATGTCAGTTCTTCACAGTTTCAATACTGCAGCAGCAAGTTCTTCCTTAGATCCAGAAAGCTGTGGTCTGTATTTTAGAAAACCTTAAGAAAAGTAGAGAGAAGTGAGCAAGCTTCTGGCGCCACGTGCCGCTTGAGTGGGACGATTTTACCTGAAGCCCCGCAGACTGGCCGT